ATCCATTTATCGATCGATCAATTGACTTTTTTTTTTTTTTTTTTTTTTTTTTTCGTTCGTAAATGATCCCCGGATTTTTTTTTTTTTTTTTTGATAATAAATAACACATATACACCAACATACCTAACATACACACAGAGCTTATGATTTATGTAGTAAATTGATTATTATTATCATCATTTATTTTGAATTGTATACGAAATTTAAAAAAATTGAAATTATTAAAAAATAAATTTTTTTTTAATTTTTCCTTTTTAAAATGCAACAAAAAAAAATGGATTTTTGATTGATTCTATAAAGCCAAAAGGTACTAAAGGGTTAAATTCTGGAAACAAAAAAAAAATTCCCGGATTTCTCACAAAGGGTTAGTTTCTTGGATTTTACCTCAGACTAAACTCCTCCTAACACGTATTGTTCTTCGTGTGTTATGTCGCGACTTGTCGCGTAATGTTTATCATCATCATTATGAAAGCTGAACCAGAAACGAATTTTTTTCTTGTTAACGAAGAACTTGGACGACAACGATAAACAACTCAGCAACACCACTGCTACTATTAATCCATTCCTCTGCTTTTTTTCAACCATTCATTTGGATCATTTTAAGCGCGAATTGAAAAAATCAGAAAGAGATACAAACCAGCAAAAAAAAACCGGCAAACGAATCAAATTGCATCAAACATTTTTCGAATCGAATTTTTTTTTCTGCTTTCGAAAAGCAAAAACAAAACAAACATTTTCATTTCGTTCGCAAAACCAAACACACAGCCATCGATCAACCATTGGCAAAAAATGCCTAAAACAACGAAAAAATCAAAAAAATTATTATTATGGGATGGTTATGGAAAACATTATCAAAGCCATTATCGTCATCGTCGACGTCGTTGTCGTCTTCGTCGTCAATATCATCAGGATCAAAATGATGAAAATCGTAACGTACCAGAAAACAAGAAAATTGACCGAAAACCGAATGATAATTGATTAATTCTTTTGTTTTCATGCAATTTTTTTTAGGTTATGAAATATCCAATATCATTGATTATCGTATTGTTATTCATAATCAAAAAGAAATTGTAAATTTTTTAATCGAATGGACTGGTCATACGGAAAAATCCTGGGAACCATTTGAAAATCTTGATCATTGTATACCATTATTATCGGATTTTTTTCTTAAAATTTATCAACGTTCAATTTTTGAATATTATAATTTAATGTTAAAAGTAAATATTGATTGAATTAAAAGATTCAACAAGTCAAAAGAATTGTGTTGACCGCCCATCAAATAATGAATGAAAACAAATGACCAATGATAATCAATCGATATTGTTTTTGGTTGACCAATCAATGAATGTAACCGCCCACAAAATTTGTTTTTGATTGGGGGGAGGGTGAACAACACATCAATACAGTGATATTTCGATTTTCGTTTCTTACAGGTGTTAAATTTTTATCAATCAATCAATCAAAATTGATTAAATCAAAAAATTTTTTTATCCAAAAATCTTATGATTAAAACTTGTTTCAAATTGTTTTTGTCCGAAAATGATTTTTCTCGATGTGTTTTGCTCCTCCCTGTTTATTACTTTGTGGGCAAGTTATTCAAACTTTTACTGTAGCAAAAAAAAAAAAGAATGAATGAACGAAATCGGGTGACTTTTTTTTTCTGTCGGTGATCGAGAAAATTCGAATGGTGTTACAGATGGATTTGATTTTTTGGTAAGAAAAAAATTATTTTTTGATAAAAAAAGGCTTCATTCATTCATTCTATTTGTTCGATTTTCATGTGCTTCATTTGCATTTGTTGAATTGTTTTTCGTTCGTTCGTTGATGTGTTCAGTGCATTAGTGGTGTATAAATTCGATTCGAATTCGAAATCAATCACGAACTTCGAAAAAAGAATGGCTACAGATAATGATGATACAAAAACGATACAATTGAAAAATTCTGAACCTCAACGACAACGACAACGTCGTCGTCGTCGTCGACAATGTTTTGGTCATCGTCGTCGTCGTCAATGTCCAAAAAAATCCTTTCAATTAAATCGTAAGTAAACTTTTGGATTTTCGAATGAAAATTGATTTACTTAATTTTTCACATTTTACACGTTTACTCTCTATAATTGTCCAAATAGGTTATGAAGTATCAGCAATTCTTGATCATTGTATAGATGATTCTGGTTCGTTTTTATTTTTAATCGATTGGAAAGGTTTTCGAACAAAAACCTGGGAACCATTAACCAATTTGGATCGTTGTAAACTTTCATTAAAAAAATATATTGAACGTATAAGATCAACAGCCGATGATCAAAAACAAATTGATGATTTGGCTTTTAAAATTTTTCAATCACAAAAAACATTGAAAGGAAGAAAAAAATTGAAACATTTTTGAAACATTTCTCTTTATCACCACACGTTGATAATATTTCCCTTTCATTTCAAATATGAAATTTTATTCATTTGGAACTGAATTCTAAATTTGCAATCCTCTTCCTTCTCCAAAAACAAGGAATAAAGATTTTCAATTTTCATCTTCAAACATCAAAGATATTTCGAATTTCGATTTTTTCTGTCGACCCAAAAAAAAGCTCATCTTTCATCCTTTCCTTGTTGCGCATGCTTCATTTTTCTCACTATATATATTTTAGGACCACCCAACAAACATACATACGCGCAACAGGTTCTTTGATCGAATGATTTTTTTGGCAAAAAAAAGAAAAAAACTAAAAATCTCCATAGATTCCAGGAAAACATTGAGAAATGAAAAAAAAACATTATGGATGGATAAAGATCATTCACAATAATCGAAACGAAACAGAAAAAATCAAATAGACATCCCATTTAACCATTAAATTAATGTTTTGTTTATGTTTGTTTTGATTTTCTTTTTTTTTTGGCTAATTGATAATGTTCATTTGACCAAAAAAAAAAAAAAAAAAAAAAAAAATTTTGATTATGGATGGATATTTTTCCCAAAGGGATATT